TATATATATAGAAACTACTAATATGTAGAAAATACATTTTTTTTTCTGCCCGACGAGTTATGTTGTCTATTTTTTATATATTTGGTGGGAAAAAATGGGGGACCAGTTGTTCCCCACTGGAAATTTTCTGGCAAAAACTTTCCCCATGGAAACTGGGAGGGGGAGAGAATACCCCTGTAGCGTCGCCACTGGATAACATGCTTTGTCCTTGTAAGCAAAGCTTGTGCACTTATGACAATGTTAATCATTGACCTAATTGCCTAACCTCTGACAATGTACTAAACTTTCGATTATTATTATGAACCCGCCTGTTGATACTGAATGGTTATCAATCCGGACCGAACCGGTGAGAGTCATTATGTCTGAATCAATACTGATTGCGACAGTTCTATTATCTGGTGACATTTTCCATGCACCAATACACAAGCATCCATGACAATATCAACGTATAAAATAGGCCTTTGTACAACGTTTCAGGTAAAAAAAAATGTTTTACAACCGAAAATGTCCTGCTATTCCTATTATCATTGTTATTATTATTATCATCATCATCATCATCATCATCAATATCATCCTCATCATCATCATCATCATTATCATTATCATTATCATTATCATTATCATTATCATTATCATTATCATTATCATTATCATTATTATTATTATTATTATTATTATTATTATTATTATTATTATTATATTGTTGTTAGAATTTTGTATTAAAATTTTTACTAGGCCTATTATTTATTATGATCAATACCGGTACATCATAAGCGAAAACGACCTTTCAGTTGATGTAATGCGCATAGAGGCAGTCCTCAAAATAATGTTCTACATTATTATTTTTATACAATTTTTAACGGATCCCTTACCACGCCCACTTCACTATGGTCGGGAGAATCGACCTCCGTCGGAGACATCAGCGACCCTCCTAGTGCCACACTTACATGAGCGTTGATCGGTGGGGACAGAGGGGACACGTTCCCTCCCCACATTTAAAGATGGGTAGACATCAAATCAATTGTGTCCCCTCCCACTTTTCAACAATCTAAAACCCTACTTTTCAAAGCAGCAATTACGAATGACTGTCATGAATTATTGTTAAAACAATGTACACTTGGCGTTAAAAAGTTTTAAAGGGTGTAAACCTATTAGGCCAACATTTTTACAAATTTTTACTCAAAAGTACACGATTTATACTATAAACGATGTATTCATTTTTTTATTTGTATATTAAATATTTGGCTATGCCAATTCACTTACCTGGCTTTACATTGTACTGTTTTTTTTTCAACTTTAAGAATATAAATGTTACTTTGATTGTTGACTGATTGTTTGATTAAATAGAGCAGTAAAATGAATAATAATAATAATAATAATAATAATAATAATAATAATTGTATAAATAATAAAATAATAATAATAATAATAATAATAATAATAATAATAATTGTATCAATAATAATAATAGTAATAATAATAATAATAATGTTAATAAAAATATTATGATAATAAAAATAATAATAATAATAATAATAATAATAATAAGTATAATAATAATAATAATGAGATTTATATTTATTCAGCATGAGGGCCAAGGATATGTCAAACTCTTCAAAGTGGCAATCCCATCACAAGACTCTATGGAGCATTGTTTAATGTTTGCATACTTTGATTCCTGCTTTTCTTAATTTCAATAAATACCAGAGCCTTGCAGGCGTCAACGTTCCTATGCATGATACACGACTT